ATTTCCATTCAGTTATCACACTAAGTGTTCATTCTTGATTAATTTTTGGTGTGAAGTTTAGCATTGCTTATCAGTGAAGTTACTATGTATATATGTATGTGTATATATATATTATATATATATATATATATATATATATAATATATATATATTATTTTTTTTTTTTTTGGGGGGGGGGCTTCTTGTATTGATCTGATTTATTTTTGTTGTTGTTGTTGTTGATTGATGGATTTTTTTTAAGTAAATGCTTTTGTTGCTTTATATTAATAAACTTGTGATGGGAAGTGAAATGCTTAAACCATATTTTATTTAGGGATTGAATTCTTTATATAAAAGAGAATTCTTTTTCTTTAGCCATTCTAAGGGTAATGATTTTAAAGAAATTATTAGGTGTCATTTGAGACATATAATTTGTTCATAATTCATATGAATGAACAAAATACACTTTTTTTTCATAATTGGTCGTGATTGAATAATATCCTTTAAATTTACTTTGCCTGTTTCAATTTCTTTGACCTAGCCAATATTATGAATATTTGTGCTCATTCTTTTCCACAAATGCATTCTGACAGATGTGTCAGCCTGACTCCCCTAGGGAAAGAAAGGGAAGGGGGCGAGGGCTTATTCTTGCAGCTGATATGGCAAAATCCCTCGTGCCTGGTAGGCAGTAGTCCTATTTACTTCCCTCATTTCTGTCTTACTTTATGATTTAACCCAGTAATTTGAAATCTGAGGAAGGTGCATGTTCTTCCTCTGTTTTGTATTTAACCTCTAAAGGATGATTTACTGCAGTTGTTGTACCTATGACTTAACCAAGTAATTTGACATTTAAGAAATTTGTGCAAACTTTTCCTCTGTATTGTATTTAACCCCTAAATGATGATTTACTGCAGTAGTTGTACCTATGACATAACCCAGTAATTTGACATCTAAGAAAGTGGTGCATGTTCTTCCTTTGTATAGTATTTAACCCCTAAAGGATGATTGACTTCAGCTGTTATACACAGGCATTTTCTGTCTAGTTATTTCCTTTTTTTAATTACTTTTTCTACTATACTGTGGAAACACTTTATATAACTCTGATGTACTTAATTATGTGTCATGAATGAAAAAAATTATCAAGTCATTTTATGTTTTTTTTTTTTTTTTTTAATATTTACTTATGTGAGTTTTTTTTTTTAATGTTTACTTATGTCAGTGCTTTTTTTGTCATCCTGTGTGTACATAATTCTTAGACTTCATGTCCCATAGGGGTTAAAACTTTCTGCTCGTAGTGAGTTTTGTGGTCTGTAGATATGTAAATTACAAAAACTTTTGAAATTCTAGTACTCACATAGAATTAGTCTCTGTATACTAAGTGGAATGAAGAATAGTTTCATGCTTTGGGATAGAGTCCTTTATTGAGGCAGTGTGTGGTTAAAGGGTCCATCATTGTTTTAAGCTTCCTCTGTGTATTGGGCATGGTTAATATTTTTTCTGTAGAAACCTTATCAGTCATCTTAGTTTGATTTATTGTGAAGATTATTAACCCCTCTGTCTAAACAATGCTGACTAACAAAATATGCTGTGGAGTTTTCGTGGCAAGTTTATGACATCTTTGCTTTATGTATGGTCAAGCCTGCAGTTTCTAAGCAGTTTCGCGCTTGTTTGGCCCTAGCTGTAGTTGTCGAGGAGAAACATTCTTTCAAAATTAGCTTTAAACTCTCTTTAGTATCAAAACCTAAAATTTGGTTCTAATAAAGACCTCTGTGAAGTCTCTCGCATCACAAAACTTTATTTGCTTGAAACATTAACCATCAGAACCTAAAAAAATGTGTAAGCCACATCCAAGAGAATAGTGTGTTAATTTTATATTTCCTGCACTTCTGATTTTCCCTTCAAGCAATTGACTCTACAGGCACCCTGACATGTTTGGTGTAGCACTAGGGGCTCCTGTCGTAATTGGGTTAAGTGTTAAGGCAAATTATAAATTACCAGAGACTGTGTGGTGGGTACACAAACACTATAGGGCATCCTGTATCTCATGACAGCCCTTGACAGCCTTTTGTTGATGAGACTCATATATCAACTAAGAAATAAGAAACTGTTAGGAATATCTTGCATTGAAGTGAAGTCCCTTGAGGCAAATTCTACACAAGAATTTCCCATGTGTCATAAGTCTGACTGAGTAAAATAAAGCCAACTGATTTGATAATAATGGTCGGGTTCATGGAAGAAAATTGGTAATGAATAGTGTGAACTTTTGTTTTTCGCAAATCTTTTCCAAACAAACGGTCAGATCAGTATGGCACAGTGCTGTAGTATCTCCTATTTTTTGGTACAATATTGCATTGCCAAATCAACTTAACATCATTTACTCTGGACTTCAATAGGTGAATTATAACACATTTGTGTTTGGGAGGAAGGGAGAAAAAATGGGTATGATGCTGAGGAACAAAGTTTATTTTGAAAGTTGACATTTTTACAATTAATAATTATAACTCATTTCTGTAACTTAACATTGCAGTTTGTAATTTAAGTATTGTAAGATTGAAGTTAATATCCACACACATTATGGAGCTAACCTTCCAAAAGTAGAGATTTTAATATATTTGTATTTCTGATGTGTTTGCAACATAAGTAGACCAAAATTCTAAGAAGATATAAGTGAAGAATAAGTAGACTTTGAAAGTTGATAAAGATTTGTTTGTTTTATGAGTGATCATTTCAATATTTTTCTTTTTTTTTTATGGTATAGGAACCAAAAACTGAGGAAATGCAAGCAAAGATTGAAGAATTGAAAAAACAGGAGAGCAAAATAAAGTCCAAGTTGAAACAGATGAAGAAATTGGAAGGTAAGAAAGCAGGTGGAGGCCAGCTGACATCAGAGGAAGAGGCTAAAATAGCCAAGAGAAGCGAGTTCGAAGCGCAACTTGCTGAAGTGAAAGGAAAAATGGAAGAACTTATTTTGTAAATATCGAGATGGATTGTACATTAATTGAAAAGACAAAAACTTTGGATTCATTCATAATTGTTGTTAGGTGTCATTTCATATTCATATTTCATTGTCACTTAAGATTTGAGAAATGTAATTCCTATGAAATTGTATGGTTGTTCCTTGTAGTAGTTCAATCTTGTGTATTTTCATTCAACCTTGAGTAGTTTAATCCAGATATGGTTTTCCACACAGTTACATAATGAAGGTGCATATCAAATGCATTTTTTCTTGACACAGGCTTTTTTTGTTTGAAAAAAAAGTTTATTTCTCTTATTTGTAGCTAAGGTGGAATTCCCCTTAAATGCTTTTTAATTGAAGAATAACTGATTTTTAATTCTTAAATAATGCAGAAAATGTTTTTGTTGATGTCTGTTGATGTGGATGGATACATCTCTTTCTTTTCCTTTTATTTTTTTTAATTAATTTTTTCTTAAGCAAAGGAATTAGAATGTAAAAATCACTAATTTCTGACCACAGTCTTCATGTAGAAATGAGAGGGAGAATGATGTTGAATATTATAATCTTTCTACACCAGCTTACCATGGGAAATGAAACCTGTTATGAATCCCATGGAAATGCTTAGTTTGCTAACACTTTGTGTCCTCTGGTTCGTTCATTTTTATTTTTGTAAGATTGATGTTCATTTATTTTTTTATTTTTCTGATGGATGGGATGTGGGATTGTGGTATTCAGTTGTATAATCCTTTTTATATATATAATAAAGAGGTTAGTGAAAAGTTTGTTATGAACAAGTTTTATTTTAGTTAGTAGTCGTCTGCACCACATTGCATATATCATATTCAAAATATAAAATTTTCAATGCAATAAAAATAAACTCATATTTTCAACCCATACACCTCTGCTACTAAATTTCCTTAATATCTGGTGTTTATACATAAAGATACCAAGTGTAATTATTTAGTAATTTCTTTCTTCACCTTTTTAATTTGTCAGCTATTTTCATTTCACATTTTACCTGGTTTAGTCATCATATCAGTATAAAAGTAACAGTTTCAGAGGTTATTTTAATATATTACACTATACTTTTTCCATCACTATACATTTAGCAAATCAAGTCATCAAATTCTTTAGAATAAAGTTAGTTCACAAATCACATTTTAAATATCCAATTATTTAGTCCTTTTCCATATCTTGTCTAGAAAGAATTATGATATTTTGGTCTTCACAGCATTAGTGTTAAATAAGAGACTTAGTGGTTATATTTAAGTTTTGTCATGTAAATGTTCCTTCACACATATCAATAGCTATATTTCAGCCATAAGGGGTGGGGGCACTTAAGTTCATAACAATAATTTTCAGTTGAGCTGACAAAAGCCTGAACTTTTTGTCACCACTTGGGTTCGTAAAAGCTTTCTGTCTTATCAGAAGTATTGACTTGTTTATGGGCCAAGTACAGAATACCCATTGTGGTGAGTGCCGATACTAGAAATATAACATCAAACCATCGGTGGTAGAAGTGGAACTGGAGGTCACCCAAAACCTGAAATATGGAAGGTATTGGAAACCAGAATCTATATGCTGATTGGAAGGTAACAAAGTGCCTGATATAAGAGATCCAAAAGATGCTTATATTTATCAATACATATACGATGTCTTGAGTTATAATGCTATCCAAGACTCAATATAGTATCCTGCTAGCTCTGAAATATATATATATTTTTTGGTTTATACACAAATCTTATGGGGATTAAATAAATAAATAGTTCAGATGTTCAGATGATATCCAAGGCAGGGTATCAAAATTTCAATTTTTTAAAAATTGTCATGGCTATCTTCAAATTTCTATTTTCTACATTATTAAACGTTTCTTTCTAAAGAATGATTTAATGAAGAGAGCAAATATTAAAGCAACACTTTCAGAGTAGCTCAATATTTTTTATATTAATTTTTAGTCTTGTTACCTCTTAATTACTTATTAATCATATTAACTTTTTTTTCTCTCTCTTTTAGCAAGAAAAAAATCCAAGCTTAGCAGAAATTAAAATATAAATGGATTAGTAACATTAAAAAGAAAGCAGAGGAGAAATATATAAAGAGAAATCCTCACCACAAACTATCCTATGTAAACGGAGTAATGCTTTCATCCATAGTACTCAAGCCAGGAAAAACTAACCTGTGTGATTATTGTCCTGTACTCTAGGGGCATGTTCATTCGCATGAGCATCACCATAGAAACGAAGTACATGCCCTGAAAAAAGTATTAATATTAATAAAACAGCTTCTTGAGCATATATCAGTCATGAACAGGAAACCTATTGAATAATTAATACCATTCCATTCTGGTATTTCGGGAATTAATTTTGAATCATCAGTTCTTTCTTCCATTCCTTTATATGGCAAATATATAAACTACTCTTTGCATTATTTTCCTCCACTGACTTTAGTTAAATGTATGTAATTTTTACTTATTTACTTTAATTTCACTTATTATCATCATTAGTATTGCTATTAATGTTACAATACTTATTATATTTTTACTGAATCACAAAGCTGGAGAAACCTTACTTTCTCTAACGGTTGACTGACATGACAAATTTTCATTATGGTTTTAAGATTTTAAAACTAAACTACTGAAATAAGTCAGGATACGAAATAGAAAAAAAAAGTTCACACCTAGACTTATCCATCCACAGATTTACACATTTATTTAAAAATTCTATAAACAAAATATATGGTTCATTATAACTCACCATAAGCTGAGCTAACACAAGCACAATAATGTTTGAAGATTTACTGCTAGAAACAGCATAGAAGAACTGAAAGGAGAAATCCAGTATTAGGACCACACCCATGGGAAATTTGATACTCATCAATTCATATATAACCCTGAACATGAATGCATGCTCTTATAAACTTGTATATGAAGCATGTATCTGCTATCTTGACTGTTGAAAGTCCTAAAGGGAGAAAGCACAAATAATGTTATACTGCTGAGTGATTTTAAAGCAATAACAATATTAGATTTGAGGGAATCTAAAGCAGTCTGAACTTTATAAATTGCCTCAATTTTCAAACATCAAATTTATACTCCAGAGATACATACTGATGAAGTCCAGAATCTGTTTTATGAAAAATAGACAAATTACTTGAAAAACACAGGAACACTTTGATTGGGAAATAATAACAGCATGACTAAAATTCCCATGGAGTAAAAATTTGTTGCCTTTAATATCCCTGTTTTATCAACTGTCCCTTGACTCTGATCATGACCCCAAACATATTGATATATGTAAATACAAGTTAAAAGAAAAGAATCTGGAGCCTCATATTTACCCTAGTAAGAGTTAGAATAAATCCTCGAATGGAAGTAACGATGATGCACCCAACGAGGAAAAAGGAAATGTGCTGCGACCAAAACTGCACATCAATATCAAACCCTAACCAGTGCACGGCAATCTCCATGCCTTTGGTCACAGGATCTTTTCTCCCAACACGATCGAACACTATATTTACAAGAGACTGTAAAGAAGAATGACTGTATATCAGCAAAGTGTATAAGGAATGTGCAAATAATCTGAACTTATTTGCCTTGCAGATTATGGTGTACTTTTAAATTTTGGCAATCAAATTGAATTTTCTTCTTGACTGTCAATTCTACTTTCATTTTTATGATAACTTTCCTGGCAGCTGTAATCCATAATGAATTTAGGCTTGAAATATATACAGTACAAAAATACAAGAATCATAAACTTAACTTACAATAAAAATTTTCCACGAACAATACAACGAGAAAAAATAACCCATAAAGTTGAAAAAGCGTCCCTGGAATGTGCTGGCCCACTCTAATCTCTCCCGTTGGCCCTGTAGTTCAACAGTCTCCAGAAAAAGTTGTCGAGACAGTTCCTGTAGGAAGGTTAAATAGAATTACTTGCACTGAGTTATTATGCATGATGTTCGTGCCATTTTACGAAAATATTTCTGATTACACCAGAGACGAAGACAATCGGTACTATTCTTCTATTATAAATAAAATATATATACTAACTACAAAGACATTTCTAATTCCATAACCCAATACAATTTTACAAATTTTATCCTTGGTCAACTGTTATTATCTTGTAAAGAGGATTTATCTTATATGAAAATATTTTAGGAGTTTTAAACTACTGTGATGGACCCTATTTTATGATGAGGAAGTAGGCTTTAACCCCCACCCCCACCCCCATGCACACATGCACCCACACATAGCCACACCCACAACCACACACACACACACACACACACCCACACACACACACTGCCACTGACCTCCAAGGCTGCAACCTCCTGTTTCAGTGCTGCAATGCTCTCCCCTTCTGGACTACTGGTGGTGACACTGCGCAACAAGCCCCAAATCCTTGAACGTGCGCCGCTATCAACTTCCACCTGCAAGTAAATATATATAAGAAAATGAAATATTACAAGCATCATATTCAGTAAAATACTGTATAAATTACATTCAACTTTCATTAACTGCTTGAATCTAGGTTATGTTACCATTACATCTTGAGGGAAATTTGGCTGAGGAAAAGGTGATATAAATATGCCATAATGAAAAATCTGACTGAGGGTTGGAGTGACGGAAAAATACAGTCAAGAAAAATTTGTCTGAAGGCCAAGGTGACAGGGATGACCCACTACAAATTTCATGGGGTGTGATTAGACTTGGTGAGCATTTAAGGTCCTCACACTACTTCTATCAGTAAATGAGTGTGCAATGTACCATCCATGAACCACGACTGTAAGAGTGCCAGCTCCAGGGAGGAGACTATGTTAATGACAATGAAAGTTGTATTACAGGAAATTTAATATTAAAAAATATGAATTGTTATTGCTATTAGTAATAAACTATCAACAGAGAGCTTAGCCTACAAGCCACACATCCAGGAGTGTCCTTTCAAATTAGTCTTAAGCTCAGGTGTCTCAAGCAGGCAGTGAGGTACCCAGATCCAATGGGTTAAAAAAGGTACAATAAAATAAGTATCTGGGATATAAAATACAATGGAAAGCATTTGTTTCTGATTCTTTTTCTTTATAACCCTGATCATGTCTAGCACAAAAATAGAACTTTGCTTACTAAAATCTATTCTTGAGAACTCTTCCTATTTCTAAATAAATTACTATATACCTTTGATGTCTGTCTTTCTCTTTCTGCTAGCGCTATTCTCTTTTTCTTGCTAACAATAACGTCGATGGTCTGCAATAAGCGCCTTTCCTGTGCCTGTATATCATACTTGGTAACCGGCGCATGAAGATGTTCATGGAAGTATAAGGATAGTTGACAGCGCCAAATCCTGATAAGGCAGCCATTACTGTCACTCCAATAACTCCAATCCTACTGATGCTCTGGAAAGAATAAAATGATTATCTACACGAAACACCTGTAACTAAATTCAAACAATACCAGTTACATGGACCAAAAAATAATATTCTGTACAGCAATAATATAAATAACTATTCTCCAACAAAACAACGTATTTACCTGTTCTATGGAGAGAATACCATGTTGCGTGCTAAGGATGGGGAACGGGTCACCAATCTTCCAAAAGCAGACCATAAACACTCCCCACGTGAACACTGACAGCACACCTACCCACTCTCGACGAACTGGAAACAGAATGTGCTATAAATATTTGTTATCTTCCAGATATATATATATATATATATATATATATATATATATATATAATCAATCGATCTATTTATCTTTCTATTTATATGTAAACTATATATATATATA